GTTCTTAGTCTCAGTATGATCACAAACCAATGTGTGTACCCCTGTCAAAGTAATTAGGTTCTTAGTCTCAGTATGATCACAAACTAATATGTACCCCTGTCAAAGAAATTAGGTTATTAGTCTCAGTATGATCACACACTAATGTGTACCCCTGTCAAAGTAATTAGATTCTTAGTCTCAGTATGATCACAAACTAATGTGTGTACCCCTGTCAAAGTAATTAGGTTCTTAGTCTCAGTATGATAACAAACTTATGTGTGTACCTCTTTCAAAGTAATTAGGTTCTTAGTCTCAGTATGATCACAAACTAATATGTACCCCTGTCAAAGTAATTGGGTTATTAGTCTCAGTATGATTTTCACAGGTAATGCAGGAGTAGTCTTTTAATTTTTGGCACTATTTTCATTTTCCATTTTGGACCCACTATGTTGAGGTGAGACAAAAATTAAGAACTTATCCAATCTGAGAAAATGTTAATGTTTTGTCTAATAATTATGAGGTTTTCATATTAAATGTATATTGGTGCATGTATGGATTCTCACACTCTTTAGGGTTAACTTAACAGGATGTTAGCATCACATTCAAAGTGACATGGTAAGCTCCAGACAAAATGTCAGATATTATTTACAAACAAACATGATACTCAAATAGTTGATTATTTTCATGAAACAAATTACTGCAAACTATGCGAAAGACAGGGTCCTGGGCCAGCAGGGTTTGATAAGTGCAGAAAAAGAACCTTTTATTTAACTTGAGGACACAGTAAAAAAACAACTCTTAAACTAGCTTCTGTTCTGAAAAATAAACTTTCATGTACTTTTAGTGGAATACAGGAAAACAAGCAGTAAATCCATCCTTGAAATCCAGGGAGGGACTCACTTATGTTCTCTTCACCCCCTGGAATATGTCATGACACTATCGAAGGCTGTCAGAATAAGCTATTTGATTTGACACTTGACTTCAAAGCAAGCCAGTTTTACCATAAACTGCCACACCATTCTTTTAATATACATCAAAAGATCTAACTAGTCGTCATGTATCACCCACAAGGTGGTATCTTAACTAGTCGTCATGTATCACCCACAAGGTGGTATCTTAACTAGTCGTCATGTATCACCCACAAGGTGGTATCTTAACTAGTCGTCATGTATCACCCACAAGGTGGTATTTTAACTAGTTGTCATGTATCATCCGCAAGGTGGTATCTTAACTAGTCGTCATGTATCACCCACAAGGTGGTCTCTTAACTAGTCGTCATGGATCACCCACAAAGTGGTATCTTAACTAGTTGTCATGTATCGCCCACAAGGTGGTCTCTTAACTAGTCGTCATGTATCACGCACAAGGTGGTATCTTAACTAGTTGTCATGTATCATCCGCAAGGGGGCATCTTAACTAGTCGTCATGGATCACCCACAAAGTGGTATCTTAACTAGTCTTCATGTATCACCCACAAGGTGGTATTTTAACTAGTCGTCATGTATCCCCCACAAAGTGGTATCTTAACTAGTAGTCATGTATCACCCACAAGGTGGTATTTTAACTAGTCGTCATGTATCACCCACAAAGTGGTATCTTAACTAGTCGTCATGTATCAGCCACAAGGTGGTATCTTAACTAGTCGTCATGTATCATGCACAAGGTGGTATCTGACATAGTCGTCATGTATCACGCACAAGGTGGTTTCTGACATAGTCGTCATGTATCACCCACAAGGTGGGATCTTAACTAGTCGTCATGTATCACCCACAGGGTGGTAACTTACCCAGTCGTCATGTATCACCCACAAGGTGGGATCTTAACTAGTCGTCATGTATCACCCACAAGGGGGTATCTTAACTAGTCGTCATGTATCACGCACAAGGCGGTATCTTAACTAGTCGTCATGTATCAGCCACAAGGTGGTATCTTAACTAGTCGTCATCTATCGCCCACAAGGTGGTATCTTAACTAGTCGTCATGGATCACCCACAAAGTGGTATCTTAACTAGTCGTCATGTATCACGCACAAGGTGGTATCTGAAATAGTCGTCATGTATCACGCACAAGGTGGTATCTGAAATAGTCGTCATGTATCACGCACAAGGTGGTATCTTAACTAGGCGTCAGGTATCACCCACAAGGTGGTATCTTAACTAGTCGTCATGTATCGCCCACAAGGTGGTCTCTTAACTAGTCGTCATGTATCACCCACAAAGTGGTATCTTAACTAGTCGTCATGTATAACCCACAGGGTGGTAACTTAACTAGTCGTCATGTATCACGCACAAGGCGGTATCTTAACTAGTCGTCATGTATCACGCACAAGGTGGTATCTTAACTAGTCGTCATGGATCACCCACAAAGTGGTATCTTAACTAGTCTTCATGTATCGCCCACAAGGTGGTATCCACTAGGTCTTCGATTTTGTCGTGAAACATTTCAGGGTTGCAGAGAAAATAAGAGAATGTCGCCCCTGGTATTTCGAGGAAGGGTAAATCCTAGCTAGCAACCGCTGCACAAGTCCCTGTTCAAGAAATGAAGACTTCCTTTTCTATTTTGGTTTACAGAATTGTTACAGAGATGGCTAAGACTTGCATAGAAATGAAGGGGTAAGGACAGCTAAGCGGCATAGGAAGGTTTCTGGGGTAGGAAAGATTACCAATACTTACAAGATGTCTTTAATCCTTTCATTAACAATCAAAACAATAATCCCTATTCCCTCAGACAAACAAGACTGTTTAATCCACCAATATGCAGAACTAACAATTACTTTGACAGTTTCCTCCCTCTAATATGCCGCACAACTTACACTACTGATATTGATCTCTTAAACTCCCTAACTCTTGCAACCTTTAAACACAAACTGAATAAAGATATTATTATTGATAATGAATCAACCTTATTTTTTTTTAAACTGAAGGTGATAGAAGGGCCAATATTTGTCAACTTAGAAACTTCTGTAGCAATTTAAATTTTTTGATTTATTCAATGACCATTTGACTGACTGTCCCTCTTGTTTTCCATTATTTTCTTGAATGTCCATTGTATAATGATCTCAGACTTACTTTATTTACTTCTGTTGATAATTATGGAAATCATAACCATATTGATACAAACATTTTTCTACAAGGCTGTCCTGATTGTGATGGACTAACAAACAGACAGTTACTTAATGATGTACAGTTATTTATTGGTCCAGGCATTTTAATCTCTATTCCTATTTCAATTATACTCCACAAAGAGTAAAATTTCTGGAAAAGATCCTTTTTCAACTTTACCTACTTTTCTATAAATGGTATTCTTCTTCGGACGTAGGAGTTTTCATTTGAGCATGTTTGTTTGTTGTAAGATTTGTTTTACAGTGTCCATCTTATACATTGAATTACACATAGACTAGCTATCTGTCTGCATATAAAATTACAATAACTTAACAGTTTTGACGAGTGTGACCTGTGCATATATTTGCACATGGACTTTTGGTCAATGTCTGCCAATATCTGTGTGATTTGATAGCTATATAGCTTATATACATTGTAAAATGTAATAAAAAATAAATAATAGCTGTGGAAGTGTTGTGTGTGTGATGTGAGAAGTGTGAATGTATTTGTATTTCAGTTATGTTAATTAAGAAGGAGTTACATCCCTTTAACTTTTGTGTTTATAATTTTCATTTCAAAATTGATGTATTAATTAAATCAAATCCAAAATAACAGATACAGATTTTGTTACTTTAGCCACCACTGGAGAGTATTTATATAGGCTTTGCCTGCTAGTCCATCCAATTGACTTGTATCAACTCTTGTCAATAGAATTTGTTGAAATAAAAAAAAAAAATGAAAGATGACCAAGGCCTTAGAAGCAAGCAGCATGAATCACAACATCAAAGCAACACCGCATACCAAACAACACATTTTGGTAACTTTCCTTGGAGGTGATATTAATATTGGAACTCATTAAACACTTAGGTCTAAGTAGAGTAGACATACAATCCTGGACAGAGGCACCATAAATCAAACAAAGATTGATAAAACTCTCCCCAGAACTAGGGACAGGGATGCCTGTTAGTATGGAACACACATGACCTTAAGGAAAGCTGATTCCCAGCAGATGATAGGTAAGAGGATGTTTAAGGCAACAGATGATGTTTCAACACAGAGCACAAAAACAACAGAATTAAAAGTGTAAGTTCCGTTCTCGTGAATGAACTTCAAATCCTACATAAATCTAGGGGAACATTTAGGTGACTGTGAACGTGTGATGAAGACCCTATTCAATAAATCTGGTGTATCAAAAAAAATTGGTAGAAAATATGAAACTTGTTAGTAGTGTTGATCTACGAAGCAGAAAACTTGAATGAGCAAGAGAGTTGACAAACAGTTTTGACTGTCGTCATGGGAGATTCGTACCTGTCGTTACGTTCCAATCTACGCCTGTGTGGAGGAAGGAAAAATACCAGTTAGAAGTTAAATCTTCCGATTATATATCAATGGTTTGTCAGCAAACAATTCATTGATATAAAGAATATCTGCCATATGTCTTTAACTTGGAAGCTGTACATATTTCCAGGCTCTTTTACACAGGCAAAATACAAAATACTTATTTCTTGTTACAACTTTGCCAAACATTTATTAAAAATATGAAGCTGGCATTTTAAGTTCAAGGTAACATGTACATAACTCCATATAGAATAGTACCATGGAAAAGTATTCAGGAATATAGACTTTTAAATGTTAATTCCACAAGATGCTGGGATCCAGTTGTTACATGAACTAACATCAAGCTTTACTCTTGATCGATCGCAACCCAACTTGGGAAATTACAACCTCAAGGACCTGGATCTGCAGCCCAGGAGTTAATGGAGAGAAATTTAAACCATCACACTTATACAGCAATATTCCCCCACTTTTGGGTGATTAAAGAGGTGAAACAAAAAAGGTTCAGCCATGTTTGATAATTTCTAAATGTTTTCCCAAAATCATTATCAAATGCTCCTAGTGTGAACTCATAGAGCATAAACGCTTTGAACTTGAACTTCTATGATATCTCAAAATCAATTAGGTACCACGACCTGAGGATTTCCTTGAAGTATATATTCACTAACTTTCTGTGATTATATACATGTTACCTTCGTCAATTCTACCTTGTTAGTTTATTTGCTCAAAAAAAATACTGCATTAATCATAAATTTACTATGAGAAATGATTTATGTACCGAAACTAAAACCATTATTTCTAAAAAAAAATATCTTGACCCGCATTGTTTTCTCGATAGGTTTTAGTATCCATTAATTTTTTTACTTCATTTTTATTTGAATTATTTGTATATGTTATTAGGAAGCAGCAAAGCGGAGATATTTAAACTTTCACTTGAGGGAAAGAATATGAAATGAAGAACTTCTGAAATCCAATTTGATGATACCAAATGATGTGTAAAGTTCCTAATGATCAACAGAAACAAGAGGCCCAGAGGGCCTGTATCGCTCACCTGGAAATGTTAGCAAAATTGAAGTAAGAATAGCATGATGTTACTGGAGGTGTACATGTAGTACATGGTTAGTAAGGGGTAATATTTATATCCAATTCGACAAAATCCTGTCATTTCTAAAACAAAAAGAGGATTTCGAAGAATTTGCTATGTTTCCCCAATTGGGCCCCGCCCCTCTGTCCCCAGGGGTCAGACCCACTGTTGATACAAAATAAGGTCCCCTTCACCCAAGGATGCTTTAGACCAAATATGGAAATAATCCTGTCATTCCTACAGAAGAAGAAGGATTTAAAAGCTATTTTTCCTCTTTGGCCCTGCTTCTCTGCCAAAATGGGAGTAGAATAATAAACCTATTCCTCTATATCCCTTATTATGCCCCGCCTCACTGCCCCAAGGAGGGTCAGACCCACCGTTTATACAAAATTGGTTCCCCTTCTACCAAGTGTGCTTCATCTCAAATTTAACAAAATCCTGTCATTCCTACAGAAGAAGAAGGATTTTGAAGAATTTGCTTTGTTTCCCTTATTGGGCCCTGCCCCTCAGCCCCCAGGAGGGCCACACCCACCATTTATACAAAATTGAGTCCCCTTGACCCAAGGATGCTCCAGAGTAAATAAGGATAAAATCCCTTAATCCCTACGGTAGAAGAAGGATTTTAAAGGTTTAACCTCTATTTCCCCTATTGGGCCCGCCCCTCTGCCCCCAGGGGGGCCACACCCACCATTCATACAAAATTGAGTCCCCTAGGCCAAAGGATGCTCCAGACAAAATTTAGTCAAAATCTACTTGGCCGTTCATAACTAGTAGCGTTTTAAAGGAAAAGTTTACAGACAACGGACCGACGCTGCGGTATGGCATAAGCTCACCAGATGAGCTAAGAATGAGGACTTCCTCGCACAAAAGAGTTCTAAGAAAGGGAACTAACATCACTGCAGATCCTTGAAAGTTCAAAGTTGTCCGAAAACCTTGAAAACTGTATGTGCTAATAGAAATTTGGAAGGGGTGGGCTAGCAGTAGAGTCTTTATCACATTGATTATGCAGCAGGTATATAGCCATACTGTCTGGTATATTTGTAGATATAGTGTACATTGGATGTCAGAAGTCCTTATCACCTCATTAACTATCTCACATCACCAATAATCTAACATGCAAAAATCAGAATATGTAAACAATTACATTGTTGTTTAGCTGAAAAAGTGTTTTGACTGGCTCACAAATTAGGAGTGACAAATCGCATTACAGTTTTCAATTTTGAATTAATGCCTGCCATTTCAATCTGATCGAAATTTCATGAATATATTATTATTAAACAATCTAATTTTTTTGGAAAAGAGGGTAAGTGGCTATGTTTTATGTCATGCAATTCCTCAGATTTACCTCAAATTAGTCCTGAACATTAATTAGTGTTAAAGTATTTGTGATGCAGACTATTAGTCTAAACGTACAACAAATCTATAACTACATTCACATCAGTGTACAGAAAATTCATCAATCAAATAAAATACTAAACAAAAATAGCAAATATCTATACATAACTGCAGAGGCTTCCAACATTATTAGGGTTGTGTCACAGTAAAAAAGATTATCCCCCTTTGTGTAATTCTTCAACTTTTCAGTTAGTAACCATATTCATAAACTTCAATTTATAGGGCGTCTTTAACCATGGGGTGACCGGTGCATTCTGATATATTATGTTGTGATCTTTGTTTCAGGAATTACTTTTGAATGATAAATTGCACTGAAGTATCTTCACATTTTTTGATATGTTCCTGCCCCCAAGACACCCTAAAACTAGATATTAATTACTTGTTAGCCCTTTATAAAGAAAAAACATTCAGACTCACTTTACAGTGTTGATTAGATACCAGATACAGTGACAGAGGAATCAAGTACCTGTAAATGGTGTTATTTAATGTGGGGGTCTCATTTTCACTGTATCTATAAACCCAACAATTATTTCCACACAAAACAATTAAGGCTCAAGATATTGAACTAGCTGTAGGAGAGGTAGCAGGAGTAACAGATCCTGTCAATTATAAGTAATTTGTGAATATGGGAAAAAACAAGCCCTCAGAAAAAATCCCGTAAAATTTACAAAACATTTCAACACACCAAAAACCTGAATGAGGAAAAAGAATTAGGCATAACAAAGTCACAGATACAAAGATAAGTACCTTTCTTTGTAGTAGTCATTCGATTGTCCTCGGGGTTCACCATCCCTCGCATACATTCTGGATTTATCTGGTTTGGCTGGAAAGAGTGGAATAGACAATATGGCCTTATTTCTGATATTTCTCAATCCATCTCATTCTTATATCACTTACACAGATCTTTTTTAACAATAGCGTTACATAAAGTGTGCCCTCACTATTAATTCTTTGCTTCAGTAATATGCTTTCAAAATGCATTCATTTGTTTGTAGGCCATGCCTATACAGGTAGCTATACTTACATCTGTATTTCTCTTCCATCTTCTCTTGGGCCTGTTTTCTACAGAACACTATCAGGGCTCCGACGGCAATGATGATGAGGAGGGAGAGCATCATGCCGATAAACCAGCCAAAGTTTGCTCCCAAGTTATAAGCAGCAGCTGAAACAAACACAATCCCGGGATCAGTAGTTAGTTGGTGAATGTGATGATTAAGAGTGCACAAACATCTTATTTTACTAGAACCAACGGTTGAAGGTCATTCAAACCGAAAGTTGCTTATGTGAAAGTCATTTAAATCAAAAGCTGTTTTTTGTTTTAAAGACTTTGGACCAATAACTGCTTGTTCTAATCAAATAGGTACATATTACATAAAAGCCTCTGTCATGAAAATTCAAATATATACCAGGTAATTATAAGTGGATGATTTATAAAAATTAAAGAGAATGAATGACAAGCTGGCCTACTTAAAAAAAGAAAGTCGTTTTACAGTCTAATATAACATTGAGGGTTGAAGAAGTTTGAAGGTAACATTCAAAGTCACTGAAGCGATACCTTGGCTTTTGGAATAACTGATGGTTTTCTAACAATGATATCAAATACATGAGTAGCAGGCTTTACCAATTCCTGTAGTGGAAATGTACTGTGTTCCACTGGTGGATCTTGACTTCCCGTTTGTGACAGCGAGGCGGACCTCGTATGTAGTTCCTCCTTCCAGATTGGCCACACCCTTCCAGTTATTGGACACTTCGTCAGTCGTCTGCATCCAATCCGACGCACCTGCACAGAGAATTGAGGTTAACGTAACATACACTCTTTCTAGTATCATGTGAGCAGACAGTATACAACTGTGAACCTATTTAACCCTTTCTACCCTATACAACTTAAGTAGACTCTACTGTGCATTGATCTGGAGAGGTCCATTATGGTCTGCAGGGGTTAAAGGTTGATACAATGACTAACCAACCCAAAGACACAATTTCCAGAAGGTAAGGTTAACCTGATTACTCTTCAACCATCAATCTATACGTTTACAGATTTTACCATTGGGTGAACATCATAACTCATATCATGGATGACTTCATTTTGGCGTTATCATATGTCAAGACAACACAGGTGAAGTATAGCTGATAACATGATAGTGTAACATGTTTGACCAGGAAAGCATGACATGAATCATTTAATCAGAAGCATTTAGTAAAATCGTGAGTCAAAATTAATTTGTTAACAATGTTATTTGAAAGAGAACTGTAGAGACAAACTTTGTACCTATGTACAGTTACACACCTGCAGTACAGGAAATCACTTACCGTCCTTCCTAAACTCCACGTATACCACCGTCCCGGCCTTGGAACTTATCACTCTGTTCCAAGTGACATTGAAGAATGTCTCATTGACATTTTTGACGTCAAAGGAAGGCACAGACTGGGCTGTAACAACAGATCAAAGTACCGTCAATATTGTACACGTACCACAATGTTCTTCACAGCATAAATAGCGCTAACATTGTTTCACATTTTGTCTTGATTTCTTGATGTTGATGCTGTTTCAAAAATTTATTTCTGCTTCAATGATGAGCATTTGTGACCTGCTGAAGCCTTCTGTATTAAGAAACCACTATCAAAACTCTCCATTCAATTGTTTTGATGCTAACAAACTCATTCACCCCTAAAATTTCACAATGGACTATTCCAACCTTTGAATTGGAAGAGTTCAAATGATTTTAGGGGTGAATGAGCTAACCAAATGAAAGTGGTTTCTGAATACAGATTTGACTATCTTAGACACAGCCTTCTTCAATTGTAATACAATATATAATTAAGCATTAAACAGTGTTGATGAGGGATTGAATGTCTATATGAGTGACTCAGCTTCACAGGAAAACCTAATGTAATACTTCAATTAACAATTTTTTAGAGTATTTCAATGTCATAGAAATTCAAATCTGTTTAATAATTCAGAATTTAGTTCAAATAACTGGATGTTTTGTGCTCACATATTCAATGAATCATATATGACAAATAATAATGATTATGTCAACACATGGATGTGGCATTCATAGCCAATATGAATGCCATCTGAACTTGGTAGGGGTAGATATTGACAGTGCCATATAATGGTAAATATAAGCCTAAACATACAGCCTGCTGCTGCCGTGGTGATCTCTATGAAGTAGTCTTCTCCCCTTCCCATCGTAGTCCGACACCAGATGTGCACGCGGTACTTCTGTTTGGCCACGAGTCCATTCAGTACCGTTCTGTTTGTGTAGGGGTCGTTTATTTGAGGGACACGGTCTTGCATCTTCCCAAGGTCAAGACCTTTAACTGTGAAACACATTGTCATATTTCTTAATGAGATTTTCTAAACAGGTTTCTTTTTTTAACATAGTCAATCCACAAATTCAACAAGACAGTTAAATTTTAAATTTGATAACAATAATAATAGATTTTATAATAATAGTTTTATCACATTGCATAACAGTAACATCTTCGAGAGGATACAATAACATCCCTGAGAAGAAACAGTAACATCTCTGTGAAGATACAGTAACATCTCTGTGAAGATACAATAACATCCCTGAGAAGAAACAGTATCATCTCTGTGAAGATACAGTAACATCTCTGAGAAGATACAGTAACATCTCTGTGAAGATACAGCAACATCTCTGAGAAGTTACAGTAACATCTCTGCAAAGATACAGTAACATCTCTGAGAAGATACAGTAACATCTCTGTGAAGATACAGTAACATCTCTGAGAAGATACAGTAACATCCCTGAGAAGATGCAGTAACATCTTCGAGGATACAATAACATCCCTGAGAAGATACAGTAACATCTCTGTGAATAAACAGTAACATCTCTGTGAAGATACAGTAACATCTTCGAGAGGATACAAAAACATCCCTGAGAAGATACAGTAACATCTCTGAGAAGACACAGTAACATCTCGGAGAAGACACAGTAACATCTCTGAGAAGATACAGTAGCATCTCTGTGAAGATACAGTAACATCTCTGTGAAGATATAGTAACATCTCTGAGAAGATATAGTAACATCTTGGAGAAGACACAGTAACATCTTGGAGAAGATACAGTAACATCCCTGAGAAGATACAGTAACATCTCTGTGAATAAACAGTAACATCTCTGAGAAGATACAGTAACATCTCTGTGAAGATACAGTAACATCTCTGTGAAGATACAGTAACATCTCTGAGAAGATACAGTAACATCTCTGAGAAGACACAGTAACATCTCTGAGAAGACACAGTAACATCTCTGTGAAGATACAGTAACATCTCTGAGAAGTTACAGTAACATCTTGGAGAAGACACAGTAACATCTTGGAGAAGATACAGTAACATCTCTGTGAAGATACAGTAACATCACTGTGAAGATATAGTAACATCCCTGAGAAGAAACAGTAACATACATAAACATTGATGTGAACAGATATAAAAGCAAACAATATAACACAAACTAATTACTATGACAATTAGCAGACTTACTTGTTTGGTAGCCAATGTCGTAGCCAACAATCAGACCATTTCTATCAGACTCATCAGGCTGTTCCCATGCCAACAAGACAAAGTTGCTGCCCACTTGTGGTACGGTAAAGGTCCTAACTGGACCGGGTACTAAACACAGAAGAGCATAAAAGTGAACTTCAACTTTTTTTTTTGCATACTTATTCCTGATATCTAAGAAATGTTTTTCCTTTTAATTATTTGATATTTGAGAATTTCACACATTTTCTTTGGAAATGTCTGTTAGATACTGGAAATCTCTCTAATTTTGTGTGGTTTTTATTCTCAGGGAACAATGCGGGTCGGTTTATTCTCAAATAGTGGAATTCATGAAGAGAGGGTGGTACATTTTAATATCTATAATAATGAATGACTCTCTTCAAAAATCAACAAGAAAACCAATATCCCAGCAAAATCATTTAAAGAACTAGGTACCCTGCCTGAGAACAAAAACTATTTGTTTATTTTTTCCTGCAAAAAAGTTAATTTGTGAGTGAGAAAATGGTGTATCAAAGGAGAAAAATACTCGTATTTTATACCTTACATTAAAATCTGACAATTAATATTCTACATCTTACAATGAAATTCTAACAATAACACTTTGTGGTAAGTGGAAATAATTCATTTAATAAAAATGGGGGAAATATTACTTCCAGGTAAGATCTGATCTGTAGAGAGATGACAGCCCAGGAAGGGCTTACGTAATAAGTATTCATTAATACTATCAGAGGAAATCTTACCTCCAGGTTTGGTCTGTAGAGATATGACAGCACTGGGTGGGCTTACGTAATAAGTATTCATTAATACTATCAGAGGAAATCTTACCTCCAGGTTTGGTCTGTAGAGATATGACAGCACTGGGTGGGCTTACGTAATAATTATTCATTACTACTATCAGAGGAAATCTTACCTCCAGGTTTGGTCTGTAGAGAGATGACAGCACTGGGTGGGCTTACGTAATAAGTATTCATTACTACTATCTGTGCCTCCATGTAAGTGTAAGGCTGAAGGTCGTTGATGGTGTAAATCAAGGTCGTCACCGCTCTTTTTCGCCGACTTCCATATTTGAGTTGAATCTGTGACTTCAACACTTCTCTTTCTCTGAACGTGTCTGATTTAGCACCTCGTCTCCAAAACTGAATCTGGAATTCAAAATGAAAGTATTAATTGACATGGTTTTGTCATTGACAGCTACTAACATAAATGCAAGTCCTTATTGAACACCTTTTTATTTACCATGCCTCTATACTAGACTTTGTGACACAAGTGACAGGGGCTGGTGCCATTGGCGAAAGTAAAACATGATTGGCAATTTGATACTGCTCTAGGCGAAAATGTTGATGAGAGGCTTTTATTTAAGTTACTGTTGACAATAGAAAAAAACGTTGGCGATAACTGTTTCTAGACCAATTGTTACAGGTAAATTTAGCCCCCGGACACCGCTTGTGTACTACAATGTCACGGCTGAATGCATTTCAGGTGAATAGCAAGGTCATGTATTGTAACTCTCCTGTGTTGTTTGAGAATGACCTTGGCAATTGTTTTAGACTGACCTTTGACACTGAAAATGATCTTGGTATTGTTTAAGACTGACCTTGGCCATTGTTTGAGAATGACCATGGCAATTGTTTTAGACTGACCTTTGACACTGAGAATGACCTTGGTATTGTTTAAGACTGACCTTGGCCATTGTTTGAGACTGACTTTGGTATTGTTTAAGACTGACCTTGGCCATTGTTTGAGAATGATCGTGGCAATTGTTTTAGACTGACCTTTGACACTGAGAATGACCTTGGTATTGTTTAAGACTGACCTTGGCCATTGTCTGAGAATGACTTCGGTATTGTTTAAGACTGACCTTTGTCACTTTTTGAGAACACCCTCGGTATTACTTTAGACTGACCTCTGCTATTGTTTGAGAATGACCTTGGCAAATGTTGGAGACTATCTCTAGCCATTGTTGGAGAGTGACCTTGGCTATGGTTTAATACTGACCTTGAAACCCTGGAAGAAGCCTCTGATTGGAGTGTTAGGGGTCACATTGTTATAGTTCATATCCCAGTCCCATGAAAATATAGCAGAATGGTCTGTCACATCCTCTACAGCGAAGTTACCTACAGTAACCTGAGGAACTGCAAAGGAAATTATTGAGTCTCTTAACAATTAATACATCAAGTTCTATGATTTCTTCATGTGAAAATTCTATGTAGGCTGTGAACTCAATAGATGGAAAAATTCAACAAAAACATTATTTTACAGATCATCAAGGTTAGACATATACAGTGTAGTTTACAACAGTTCAACCATTTATTGACATAGATTTAAATGTCAGCATAAAATAACAGATCTTTCTGTCCCCTGTAGACAGCCAGTAAATATTATAAGATAACGATCTAATTTGCCTCTGTAAACAGACAGTAAATACAAGATAACAAATCTTTCTTTCCTCTTTAGACAGCCAGTATATATATTACACAGCCAGTAAATTTAAGATAACAGATATTACCGTCCTCTTTAGACAGCCAGGATATATATTACACAGACAGTAAATTTAAGATAACAGATATTCCTGTCCTCTTTAGACAGACAGTAGATATATTACACAGCCAGTAAATATAAGATGACAGATCTTTCTGTTCTCTTTAGACAGACAGTAGATATATTACACAGCCAGTAAATTTAAGATAACAGATCTTTCTGTCCTCTTTAGCCAGCCAGTATATATATTACACAGCCAGTAAATATAAGATGACAGATCTTTCTGGCCTCTTTAGACAGCCAGTATATATATTACACAGACAGTAAATTTAAGATAACAGATCTTTCTGTCCTCTTTAGCCAGCCAGTATATATATTACACAGACAGTAAATAGAAGATATCTCATAACAGATCTTTTTATTTTCTTTAGACATGCACATCCAGTATATATATTACACAGCCAGTAAATAGAAGATACCTCATAACAGATCTTTCTATTCTCTTTAGACAGCCAGTATATATATTACACAGACAGTAAATAGAAGATATCTCATAACAGATCTTTCTATTTTCTTTAGACATGCACAGCCAGTATATATATTACACAGCCAGTAAATTTAAGATAACAGGTCTTTCTGTCCTCTTTAGACAGCCAGTATATATATTACACAGACAGTAAATAGAAGATATCTCATAACAGATCTTTCTATTTTCTTTAGACATGCACAGCCAGTATATATATTACACAGCCAGTAAATAGAAGATTACAGATCTTACTGTTCTCTTTAGACAGCCAGTATATATATTACACAGCCAGTAAATAGAGGATAACAGATCTTAATGTCCTCTTTAGACAGCCAGTATATATATTACACAGCCAGTAAATATAAGATTACAGATCTTACTGTCCTCTTAAGACAGTCAGTATATATATTACACAGCCAGTAAATAGAAGATAACAGATCTTATCTGTCCTCTTTAGACAGCCAGTATATATATTACACAGACAGTAAATATAAGATAACAGATCTTTTCTGTCCTCTTTAGACAGCCAGTATATATATTACACAGCCAGTAAATAGAAGATACCCTGTAACAGATATTTCTGTTCTCTTTAGACAGCCAGTATATATATTACACAGCCAGTAAATAGAAGATAACAGATCTTTTCTGTCCTCTTTAGACAGNGATACCCTGTAACAGATCTTTCTGTCCTCTTTAGACAGCCAGTATATATATTACACAGCCAGTAAATATAAGATTACAGATCTTACTGTCCTCTTTAGACAGCCAGTATATATATATTACACAGTCAGTAAATAGAAGATACCCTGTAACAGATCTTTCTGTCCTCTTTAGACAGCCAGTATATATATTACACAGCCAGTAAATAGAGGATACCCTGTAACAGATCTTTCTGTTCTCTTTAGACAGCCAGTATATATATTACACAGCCAGTAAATATAAGATTACAGATCTTATTGACCTCTTTAGACAGCCAGTATATATATTACACAGCCAGTAAATAGAAGATAACAGATCTTTTCTGTCCTCTTTAGACAGCCAGTATATATATTACACAGACAGTAAATATAAGATAACAGATCTTACTGTCTTCTGCAGAGTATCCTTTGTAAGTGATCAATGGTACGTTTGACTCTCCAATCTCATTCTTGGCCTTTACAGTAATGTCGTAAGGAACAAAGATGTCATTTGTTGCAATGTCCTTCCGGTTGATGGTGTAATTATTGATGTTTGACGTGTGGATGGTCATTCCGTCCTTTATCACGGTCAGGATGTATTCAAACTTGTCTCCGGCTTGCTGGATAGGAGGCATTAGCTGTCAAAGAAACAGAACTATGTAACTGACGTCAAGGCCAATCATACATAGAGGGTCTAGTAAGATATATATTATAGCTAGTATGCTATATTTAGCTTCATCATCATCTAAAACCTGAATACCCAGGGTATTTCAGAGTGGTTTTACAGTCCAGTTTCCCTCTTAGTTATCTGCAGTTGGGTACACAACAAAAATGCGATATCCAAACAACGGGTTTTTTACAGGACACAGAACTAGTACAACATATTCATACAGTTAAATGTTCCTATTTTTCTTTCATTATAAGTATTACTTTATTACTTAAAAATCAACACAATACCTCCAATACCAAGTATCGACTAAACTTAAACATTCTAATAACAAGATTGTACAAAACTAAAATGTTAATTCATTTTTGCTAGGATAGTGAAAGTATACCAATATCGGAGAACAACCGTCAAATAATATGATTTATTACATTTTTGCCAGTGAAATATCGGTTTCTATCAACTTGATAAAACTGATATCTTTCACACTGTGACAAATATCATAAGTGATATTTTCAGTGTGAAAATATCACTTTTTGATATTGACCAATCATAATGGTATCTTCTATACGCTGCATTCAAAGGCAACGATTTTTTGATCAGATTCAAATGAAGCGACGGTAGAATAAGTGGTTGTCATGGTAAATGTTTGGTACACACACTTAAGTATTTACATAAGTGCATGTATACAATTGATAAAAAATGTATAAGCAACAATACCAGAAAACAGCAGAAAACGTCGGAATTGCATTGAGTATCCCAATTCAAAATGGCACGCAGCCTTGTTGTCAAGTGTGACGTCATTAGGATACGGCGCTAATTATTACGCTCCTGATTCCCGACCTTTTTTAATGCATGACATTTTTCATGTTTTATGCTTTAAAAATGTAATAAATAGAAAATTTAATGGTGTCTTCAGTAATAACAAATATATTTCACTCGTGTGGCTAATATTTTGATTTTTTTCACTCGTGCTGCGCACTCGTGTAAAATATCAAAATATTAGCCACACTTGTGAAATATATTTGTTATTACTGACGACACCATCAAATATCCTCCTCTATAGTCAACATATTTCAGCAGTATTATTTTTAAAGGTTTTTCATGGTCATTCATTCAAAAGTGTTCATTTATAATAAGCATATAAATATCACTTTATTCCATTATGTTACAGAGCTGAAACACTACATCCCAATATATCTGTCACCTCAAAAGTGTTAATTTATGGTAGACAAAATAAATATCACTTTATTCCATTGTGTTACAGAGCTGAAACACTACATCCCAATACATCTGTCACCTCAAAAGTGTTAATTTATGGTAGACAAAATAAATATCACTTTATTCCATTGTGTTACAGAGCTGAAACACTACCTCCCAATATATCTGTCACCTCAAAATTTTCACCCCAACAGGAAAATAGGACTGCCCTCCTATATCACAGTGTATAGCACCACGTGCTTGAAACATTCAACAAAATTGAGACTTTTTTGTTTCATTAACACACTTATTGCTTGTCTGGCAATTCAACTGGATGCAATTTTAGCTTCATATTTTTTTCAAAAACAATATGAACATGTTTTCAACAATATCTTTCCATTTGTTATACATCCTAAAATAAATGAAGCATACATTTCTAACATGAACACTTTTNATTATTGCAAGACAAATACGGTAATACTAGGTAGCTTCCACATTAAAGAGAATCTGGTCATACATACTGTCCATTCGACTACCAAGAAGTTCCTGCGATCCCCAATGGTACGAACATTGGCAGGGTTCTGGCTTGGCCTTCTCGGGTTGGTAGTACACCTATCTCCAGTTTGGGAACTGGGCTCGCTTTGTCCTCTTTTGTTTACAGACAACACACGGAACGCGTAGACAACGTTTGGCGCGAGACTCAGCGTGGCTTTGGTTTGCGTGGAACCAACCTTCAAAGCATAGGTCCACTTATCAGGCGTGAATGTGGTGTTGAACTCAACGACAAAGTACTGAACTGGAGCGTTGTTAGAGGCACCTTTGGTCCATGTCACCTCCGCGTTTTCCTGCAGACACTTGATCAGGGTCACATCTACTGGGGGGTCAGGCTTATCTGTTAAAACATCAGACGTCACCAACAGTCAGAAAAATCATCTCTTACAGACCACCTTATACAGCAAACAGTCACAAACATTACCTCTTACTTAAACACTTAAACATAATCTCAAATCTCAAATATCACATAGCCACTCATGTTAGACTCTAAAGGATATCTCTAATTTTCTAGTGTCTTTGAGTGCACAGTCTGGTAACCCTTGTAATCGGCCAGGTATTTTAATACACTGATGTGCTGGTGATTTATCTTGGGTACTGTTATTTACCTTTAACTGTCAAAATGGCAGACGCTGTGGCCACGGACAAACTGTCTCGGACGACACAGGTGTAAAACCCAGAATCCCGGCTGATAGTACCACTGATGGTCAGAGAATTGTCCTGGAAGTTCTGGGTCATACGTTGATCGTTTGTGGTGATATTCTTGCCATCCTTCTGCCAGGTCACTCCCAGGTTCAGCACCTCGTGAAAATCAGTTGTTCCAGTACAAGTGAACTTAGCATCGGATCCAGCACTCACTTCTAAGTCACCTGGCTTAGACTCAATGCGAGCTTTCCCTGCAGTTTCAATTTCAAATTGAGAATCATTTTGTTTGTACCCACTAGAATGGCATATCTTATATTATAAAGTGCTGACATAATGTATGAAGGCTGACAGCTGGAATTGACTCTAACTGAGAGCTAGACATATGCCATTTATTGAGCAATGGAGAAAGTAACACAAAAATTTCCACTGAAATAATGACTGTCAATTTTGGCACTGCATAATCCTGTTTTCAACTTTTTGGATTTTGAATCAATGACTTATTCAATAATATTCAATTATTAAATTAATGATTTTCTTTCCATACTTACTGCGTACAGTAAGGGAGCCGGACGCCTCCACGAAGCCGTAGGTGTTGTTAGCTGTACACCTGTACAGACCAGCATCCGACAACACCACACTCTGACAACAGAAACAGAAAAATTAAGTTATTTTGCGTAACTTAAAAAAAGCAGTTGAGAGACATAGTCATATTTCTTTTCATACAGAGGTGTTGTGATAGTAAGGGGAGACAACCAGACTTACCTCAATGTGAAGGTCCCTGTTTGTCAAAATCTGGTAACAACCTACCACTTTCTGTTCATGTGGAGGTGTTGTGATAGTAAGGGGAGACAACCAAACTTACCTCAATGTGAAGGTCACTGTACGTCAAAATCTGGTAACAACCTACCACTTTCTGTTCATGTGGAGGTGTTGTGATAGTAAGGGGAGACAACCAGACTTACCTCAATGTGAAGGTCACTGTACGTCAAAATCTAGTAACAACCTACCACTTTCTGATGATGTGGAGGTGTTGTGATACTAAGGGGAGACAACTAGACTTACATCAATGTGAAGGTCCCTGTTTGGTCTAATCTGGTAACGACCTACCACTTTCTGTTCAGGTGTTGTGATACTAAGGGGAGACAACCAGACTTACATCAATGTGAAGGTCCCTGTTTGGTCTCATCTGGTAACCACCTACCACTTTCTGTTCATGTGGAGGTGTTGAGATAGTAAGGGGAGACAACCAGACTTACCTCAATGTGAAGGTCCCTGTTTGTCAAAATCTAGTAACAACCTAACACTTTCTGTTCATGTGGAGGTGTTGTGATAGTAAGGGGAGACAACCAGACTTACATCGATGTGAAGGTCCCTGTTTGGTCTAATCTGGTAACGACCTACCACTTTCTGTTCAGGTGTTGTGATACTAAGGGGAGACAACCAGACTTACATCAATGTGAAGGTCACTGTGCGTCAAAATCTGGTAACAACCTACCACTTTCTGTTCATGTGGAGGTGTTGTGATACTAAGGTGAGACAACCAGACTTACATCAATGTGAAGGTCACTGTGCGTCAAAATCTGGTAACAACCTACCACTTTCCGTTCATGTGGAGGTGTTGTGATACTATGGGGAGACAACCAGACCTACATCAATGTGAAGGTCCCTGTTTGTCAAAATCTAGTAACAACCTACCACTTTCTGATGATGTGGAGGTGTTGTGATACTAAGGTGAGACAACCAGACTTACATCAATGTGAAGGTCCCAGTTTGGTCTAATCTGGTAGCGACCTACCACTTTCTGTTCATGTGGAGGTGTTGTGATACTAAGGGGAGACAACCAGACTTACATCAATGTGAAGGTCCCTGTTTGGTCTAATCTGGTAACAACCTACCACTTTCTGTTCATGTGGAGGTGTTGTGATACTAAGGGGAGACAACCAGACTTACATCAATGTGAAGGTCCCTGTTTGGTCTAATCTGGTAACAACCTACCACTTTCTGTTCATGTGGAGGTGTTGTGATACTAAGGGGAGACAACCAGACTTACATCAATGTGAAGGTCCCTGTTTGGTCTAATCTGGTAACAACCTACCACTTTCTGTTCATGTGGAGGTGTTGTGATAGTAAGGGGAGACAACCAGACTTACATCAATGTGAAGGTCCCTGTTTGGTCTAATCTGGTAGCGACCTGCCACTTTCTGTTCATGTGGAGTTGTTGTGATAGTAAGGGGAGACAACCAGACTTACATTAATGTGAAGGTCCCCGTTTGTTCTAATCTGGTAGCGACCTCCAGTGATCTGTTGCCCTTCTTTGTACCAAGTGATGATCGGGTCAGGTTTTCCACTCGTCTGACATAACAGGTCAACAGAATTGCTTTCAGCCACCTTGGCATTCTCCTCTGGTCGTTTAACAAACTGTGGTGCTTCTCCTGCAGAAGTAAAAGAAATCCACAATCACTGAAAATTATAATCTGACTTAAACAGTTTGCCATCTACAGAACGTAAATGATTTCGTTGACTCTTGGATTACTACAGAAGGTAGTTGTAATGCCAGAGTGAGGATTTGTTATAGTGTTCATGGAATTTGTCACATTCCGGTCGGCATTCATGTTGACTATGAATGCCAAATGAAAGCTATTCAATACTTTACATACAACAAAAAAAATGAGGATTTTGCAAGAGCCACTTTATCAGGGGCTTACTACCAGTCTCAAAGAATATTGAGATAAAATCCTGTACCTACACTGAACAGTGAGACACTAAAAGCCAGCTGTGAGAACTTATAAAATCCTGTACCTACACTGAACAGTGAGACACTAAAAGCCAGCTGTGAGAAGTTATAGAACTGAGACTCACTGAGGACGTTAAGATAGACATCAGCGAACACGTAACCATGGCTGTTGGAACAGTTGCACTGAATGACAAACACGTCAGTCAGTTTGAGGTCGTCAATGGTTACATTCATATCATTGGGCTTCATGAAACGGTTGGACAGTACAGTATCATCTGTCGATTCTGTAAAGGAGAACATAACAACTTGTTAAATATATTCTTCACAATAAAGCCTTTTATCATACAGGCAGTGTAATTTAAATTGGCAATTTTTTTTCTTAACCTTTTTTACTAATATGTTCTATATATGCTTGCTTCTAATTCAAGGCTGTAGTTTTATACTGTGTATAACACCATGTGAGCGTGTAGTGAACAGACTCACCATCAATGGGCACACCGTCACTGTGTGTAACACCATGTGAGCTTGTAGAGAACAGACTCACCATCAATGGGCACACCGTCACTTTGTATAACACCATGTGAGCTTGTAGAGAACAGACTCACCATCAATGGGCACACCGTCACTGTGTGTAACACCATGTGAGCTTGTAGAGAACAGACTCACCATCAAAGGGCACACCGTCACCGTGTATAACACCATGTGAGCGTGTAGAGAACAGACTTACCATCAATGGACACTGTCACTGTGTATAACACCATGTGAGCTTGTAGAGAACAGACTCACCATCAAAGGGCACACCGTCACCGTGTATAACACCATGTGAGCGTGTAGAGAACAGACTTACCATCAATGGGCACACCGTAACTGTGTATAACACCATGTGAGCGTGTAGTGAACAGACTCACCATCAATGGGCACACCATAACTGTGTATAACACCCTGTGAGCGTGTAGAGAACAGACTTTCCATTAATGGGCACACCGTAACAATGTATAACACCCTGTGAGCATGTAGAGAACACTTTCCATCAATGGGCACACCATAACTGTGTATAACACCCTGTGAGCGTGTAGAGAACACTTACCATCAATGGACACACCGTAACTGTGTACAACACCCTGTGAGCGTGTAGTGAACAGACTCACCATCAATGGGCACACCATAACTATCTATAACACCCTGTGAGCGTGAAGAGAACAGACTCACCATCAATGGGCACACCGTCACTGTGTATAACACCATGTGAGCTTGTAGAGAACAGACTCACCATCAAGGGGCACACCGTCACTGTGTATAACACCATGTGAGCGTGTAGAGAACAGACTCACCATCAAGGGGCACACCGTCACTGTGTATAACACCATGTGAGCGTTTAGAGAACAGACTCACCACCAATGGGCACACCGTCACTGTGTATAACACCATGTGAGCGTGTAGAGAACAGACTCACCATTAATGGGCACACCGTCACTGTGTATAACACCCTGTGAGCGTGTAGACTCACCATCAATGGGCACACCTTAACTGTGTATAACACCATGTGAGCGTTTAGAGAACAGACTCACCACCAATGGGCACACCGTCACTGTGTATAACACCATGTGAGCGTGTAGAGAACAGACTTACCATCAATGGGCACACCGTCACTGTGTATAACACCCTGTGAGCGTTTAGAGAACAGACTCACCATCAATGGGCACACTGTCACTGTGTATAACACCATGTGAGCGTGTAGAGAACAGACTTACCATCAATAGGCACACCATTGACGAACCATTCCGTTTTGGGTGTGGGAGCACCTTCAGCTATACAAAGGAACGTAGCAGAGGCTCCTTCGCTCGTCTCAATATCCTCAGGTTTTTGTACCCAAGTTGGTTTAGCTGTAATATATAGTGTTACAACTGATGATGTTAGTACATATATGTAATATCACATATCTTTATCTGAAGTCAGTGGTAGCAGACAACGCAATACTAAGTGTGACATTACTAAGTGTGACATTACTAAGTTTCCTCTGTGCATGAGTGAGGAAAACAGAAATAAAAACAATATGTACGACCAGTGTTGTTTTTCTTACCTACTGTAGACATACTTATTTAAGCACACATTCAAATATTAGCACATTATCAAATTTCAGCACATTATCAAATTTCAACAGAAATGTTGATAAATTGGTACACTCACAATATAAGCAATAGAAAACAATATACAGAAACTCCAATTAGCCCAATCATAATTAATTGCAATATATATAAAGCATGGAAAGAGCATCACATCATAAGATGACCATTGATTATAATAAAATGACCACTATAATAAAATGACCAATATGATAAGCTGACCACTATAATAAGATGACCATTAAAATACAAACATTAACAGTTTATTATATAAATATGTAAATAATAAACTAAATTGATAGCTTAATTTCACACTTTTCAACATGACATGTACACCATTTGTATAAACAGATAATTAAGATTTTTTTTAATTAAATAAACCACAATTTCACTCTACATGCAGAGATTTCACTTCAAACTAGAACACTGACAGGTCAGTAAGGGCCCCGTCTTGTGGCAATATATATCCCCCATAATCATCAAGAAGCAATCTGCCCATATAGCTGAGCTTGGCGTTTGACATTTGAACTTCCAAAAGAATCGCAAGGAAGCAAAATATACATTTTACATGTACTATGATGTGAGTCTTGTTTCCTTCCACCTCCATATTTGCTTGGCTAACAGAAATGTAAATACCGGTGCAATACTCATTTGTTAGCTTTGATTGGTTTTATTTCACCTTATATACCTCCTCCATCAAGAGCCAGGGTCAAAGTCAGAGATCCACTTTGTCTTTGACCTTTGGACCCAAATGACCTTAACCATTAAACCAATGACCCTGATCTTTGGTCAGTTGACTTATTCTTTAATTCCGACCAACTTTGCTTCTTAATATCATAACAAAATGTTCTTCAGTGAAAAATACAAAACTTGACCTTGACCCTTTGGACCGCGTAACCTGGCCCTAAGGTCAGTTGACTCTGTGTTAAGTTCTGAACAACATTGCTTCATAATGTCATAACAAAATGTTCATCAGGGAAAA